TCCCTTGTTATATTTCATTAAATTATTCCATTCACTTAGAAGTCAGTACAGTTTGCAGTATTATGCAAGCTCAGATATAGAGCTGACCTAACTGAGGGTTCTTCTCAAACAGAGTTTCTGTTCACTCCTCTTTCCACTGGAGGATAATGGCTCATGTCTGTTGGGGTGAGGGTAGATGAACTTATTGTATAATGTTTACTCCTTGTAACGGTGTTCTGTTAAGTTTGGGGATTGCTTTTGCTTACTTGATGTCCAGCTGGATATTACAGTGGCTGGAAGGCATGCAAGATGTGTTTAATTTTGGCATGGGACTAATCCCAAAAGGAATGAAGTTGGAGACACTGATATCTTAAAGTAAACTCCAGCACATGGGCCAGCCAGCCAGATTCATTTAAACATGGATGTGAGTCAAACAAAGTACTAGATCCCTAATCTTGCCAAACCTTAGTTTTGAGTTTACTTCAGAATTCTGATGCTCTGCTTCATTACTGATGCATTACAGTTTCCAAACCACAACATAAAGTATTTACTCTGTCTCTGTAAAATTAGCAACCTGAATTCAGCTTCTGAGAAACTGTAAGAACAGCACATTAGACCAAAGAGCTGGCACTTAAGGAGGGAGGAGTGGAAAGGGGTGACACTACAGCCTGGAGGCACTTGCCTGTAAGGGGCAAGTGGCATAGTGCAGAGCCATCCAGCATGGCAGATGTGGACTTACCTGGTTGGATCCAGAAGCAACTCTGAGTTAGAGGATTGAGTGCAGTACTCATCTCTTGCACAGAGACTACATGAGGACACAAGGCAGCAGGCATGGCAGTGGGTGTTAATGTGCAATTCACAAAGCAAATATATAATCTGGAGGCACTTAACTTGCTCAGGTACCTTACATGCATCTTAACTACCTGCATTTTTGCTTGACCATCAGACCTACTTAAATCTCCTATTTCCCACACCTTCAGCTGATGGTCTGTCCATATGCTATCTATGATTGCTACTGCATACAGGGAGAAGGAACTGAAAAAGATATTAAAAAACAGAAATATCCTGGGTCAGACTGACCTATTTTTAATAACTCAGCTTGTCACATCAGTAGAAATTATAGGATTTGGGAGGTAGAGAAGAAAGAAATTACCTGATGGAGAACTGGGAAGTGAGGGAAGGCAGGGAGGGCACAAAAGCACATGGTGAGATCTATCAGAGTTTAATCCATTTATCAGTTTGTCTGAAGGAGTCCTAGTACAGACTTTATAGGAGAGTAGTTGGTTAGAGTCCATGTTCCAGGGATCATCCAACAAAGCCTGGCAGCTGCTTCTGTGGTCCAGCAAGTTGTGTTCACTTCTGCTCTTTTGAGACTTGTGTGCAAAGTGGTGGGTGCTGGTGCTGGAGGGGAAGCTTGGTGGTGTGCTTTGGGAAGCAGTTAGGAAGGAATTGCCCATAGTGATTGGGGGAAGACTCTGGGTTCTGATGGGCACAAGTCCCTGACACACTTGTTGCTTCTTTTCTGATATGAGGTATTTCGTGTCTGTGCTCCTTCTTTTGAAGTCAGTGGTTGTCACACACTCAACTGGAATGTCTTTGCAGTTTGTGTCCATAATGCAATCAAAAGTGGTGATGATATCATCTACTTCTGAGGTCTCTTTTCTAGGGTACTGGTCTCTGCTTCTCTCCTTCTGACTGGTTTTCTTATCATTCTTCTTTTTGCAAGAGAAGATGTGGTTCAGCATACTGAATCGTCCGTCTTTCTTTAGGACTCTGTTCTGGGAGGGAAACTGATGAGCTGGCTCAGATCTACTGGAAGTACAAATCAAAATGCGAAGTCATTATTGCCAAATAATTAAAATAATACTACCTGTGTTAGCCCATGAAATGGAGTATATACTGTTCAGATACATTTGCAGGGTGGTTCAAGGAGGTAAAAAATGAGGAGTCCAAATTTGTAATTAACAAAGACTGAAAATGGTACTGTGTTACTTCAGTCTTTCTTGTGGGGTTCATTGCTTTACACTCTTCTTAGCGTACGTGCAGTGCAGCTGTGAGGTAAACAAGAAAACTTTTCTGGCTTCAGCATCTATCAGCTGCAAATTCATTATTCTTAATGGTGAGGCAAGATCCAATAATAAGTACGTGCTGGGATCTTTAAAACCAAGTGGTCTTTGTATTATGTCATATTTGGAATAGTACTTCCAACAGCACAGTCATTGCTAGCACTGTAACAAAGACACTCGTTCACAATTCCTTCTTTCCCTTTCCCTCTCCCCTTCACCTTTGCCTGGCCTTGCCTCTACTAAAGAGGTCTAGCACAGTTTCAGAAAATCTATCAAGATAATTCCCTACAGTGGTGTTGCTGTGGTGGTTTTTAGATTAAATTTTGACTAATCAACACTTCAGATCTACTCTGACAGGCAAAGCGCAGGAAGGGGAGGAGAGGTAACGATACCCTTGTCTCACAATTTGTAGCACAGGAAATAATTCTAACTGCTGACTGGAAAGGAGGGGGCAGCACAAAGCAATGTGATGATAAATGTCTTTGTAAGTGCATGCTCATTTATCATAGTTGAAGAACATAAATGAATTAAATGACAGCTGCTGAAACATGAGAAATTCAAAGAGAGAGGAAGACAAGCAATGGTAAAAGAATCATACTTCTTAACAGAAAGAAAACTCAGAATAAGAGACAATCAAAATAGAGAACAAAAGAAGGCTATGAAAACACTACCAAACCCTTACACTGAGAATGAAAACTTGGAATTTCTTTTATTATCTATCAAGCAAAGCTGCTTTTGTATTAAGTCTATCCCTCTGTCTGATTACATGAACACACAGCTAGTGGACAGAGATTTCACTGAAGTGGAAGGCGTATATCTGAGTGCTGAAATTATTCTGTAAGGTAAATTTTCTGCATGGCAGGTGACTGAGTAAGAGCTATACTCACATCTTCTTGGTTCGGAACCCTCTGATGATCAGCAGACTAGCACACTAACCGCAGTGATGAGTCTTCAGTAGATGACTAATTTTAACATTGCTATTTTGGTGCAAAACTTGAACTGAGTATTGCATACAAAGAGGAGAGATCACTTAGGGCTCAAACCCTCCAGTATAATACAAAAAAGCGCTAAATTTGTTTTCTAGTCACTGGCAACATGTAAGCAAGATGTGAGCTTTTGCTTTACCTGCTCTCCTGAGACAACAGCTTGATGCAGGCTGTGTGCCCACAGTACACTGCATATGTGAGAGGAGTGTTTTCATTGATGTCTCGTGGGCTGCTGTCTGTACCCAGCTCTAGCAGTGTCTGCACACAGTCAGCTTTCCCTGCTGCTGCAGCCCAGTGCAAAGGTGTCCTACAGAAAAGGGGGAATATCATTAAAATAGATGAATAAATTTACTATCACTATTATTAATGACATAGCGAGGTGTGCTTCTATGCTACTTGTCATATCCCTGAATCTGGATTTTAAGTTTTAAGTAGTTCTCTAGTAACTTATCCCACACTGATATAGCTGCCAGTGGTGGTAATAAGGCCATAGACTGGCATCTACCTATGCGCATCTATTTAGCTGTAAAGAAAGTAGATATGGGGCTGCAGAATGCCTATACATGCTATGTAATAGCATCTCTTCTGCTGCTGGAGTTGCAGAGTGGAAGGAGTTCCTGAAGCTTTCAGAGCAGAATTTGAAAAAAATCTTCATAGTGCCCACTGTGTAGTGACAAGCTCTTCTCATCTTTACATTAAACACAATTTGCAATGGTTAGCTCAGGGGTCTCCATGAAGGTAATAGGAGAAGAAGCCTCCCCCAGATGAATGAGAAGGACTAGACAGATCTACCAAACTGTCATTGCCCCTTTGCTGGTTTCTGTGTTCTTTGATGGGCACAAACTGGAGCAGATAGAATTGTCTTGAGTCTGCGTACAAGAATCAAACTGATTTTCTGCTTGGCAGGAGATTTGCATCTTGTCTTTGGAAACTTTTGTCCAATTTCCAAATTGTAATATTTTGCTCTTGTGAAAAAGTCTGAAAGTGCAGAAAATACCATAAGAAAATGGCAAGAATAAAAAATAAAAATTACTTCTCTTTGCCTGTTTCTTTTCAATCCCAGTGGTTTCAGACAGGTGCAGTCAGAAACACAATAGAATGGAAATCTACTGTGTGCTTATAATGAGCAGCTTATCTTTTCCACTCTTATCCATATCTTCTGTGGAAATATCTGAGAATGTGTAATCACAGAATCACAGAATCACAGAATCACAGAACATTAGGGATTGGAAGGGACCTCAAAAGATCATCTAGTCCAATCCCCCTGCCGGAGCAGGAACACCTAGATAAGGTTACACAGGAAGGCGTCCAGGCGGGTTTTGAATGTCAATAATAGGAGGTCGTGTTTGAGCTTGTAAGTGTAGTTAAACTCCTCCCCTTGCCCTTGTTTCTGTAGAAACACAGTCTTCTCAACTACATTTGCCCGGTGTTTAGAAACTTGTCCAGAACCCTGTTGGTTTTATTTCTGTTCTGATTTATTGCACTTTTCCATAGAGAATGCTATTATTTTAAGTACCTGAAGGCCTAAGCCAAGAAGACCTTGGCTTTCACTCCACTGAGCAGGATAATCAATGCAAACAGTCAGTTAGTTCTATTTGCATGAAATAAATTAACAAGTGAAGTTCCAAGGGGGGTAGATGTGGAGTGAATGAAAGGAAAGAAGCTGACTTTTCTGCACTTATGAAGTAGGGATTTCATCCTGGAAGGAATCAAATGCCTTGTCAGAATGGAAGGTGAAGGTCCTCTGGTTCTATAAGAATACTGTGTTAGCATCTTAATTGCAACAAAGGGAACATTGCCATTTCTTAAATACTAATAGCAGCAGGATCCCAGCTTCAAGTTGTAGGATCCTATTCTATTGTTTTGAAAAGAACGTTCACTTTTGATTGAAAGAAATTAAGTCAAGTGGTGATAAGGTCCTTTCACACATAATCATATCATTTCCTACCAGAAACACAAAGTTAAATAACACTCCTACTAGTCAGTTGTATTACTAGGTATGATACATCTGAGCTTGACTGTTTTGCACTGTTTCTTAGCAAGCATGGTTCTCTGTAAGTGCAGTTGATTAACTAGGCCATGGCCTATGAAACAGGAAACACGATTAGAGAATAAACAGAGCTGGTCTCAGGTTAATAGAAAGGAAGCAACAATTTCAGTTTCAGAGTTTCCATGGTTACCTGTCATCCACATCAAGGGCCTGCAGGTTGCACTCTGGGACTTTAGCCAGCTCACTGATAATATCACTGAAGCCTGCAGCAGCAGCAATGTGCATACATGTTTTGCCATTCTCATCATCGTAGTTTATTATTGATGGCCCCTGGTAGTGGTCCAGAATGATGGAACACAGAATCCTGTTGCCACTCTGGGAGGAAGTTTAGAGAAGAAAAGCATTTTATACCAAACTGCATTTTCTCTGCTAAAGAAGGCTAAATACAGTAATGGTATTTTGTTTTGCATATACCAGACTCCCTGGGTATGAAAACCAAAAGCTTCGAATCTTCTGCTGGGAATTTGGTTTGCTTTATGAATTTCCTAGAACACTTTGAACACTGGAAAAATAATAAATAATGTACCACTTCAAATATCTCCAAAGGTTGCAGAGTGTAAAGTACTCAACAGCTTTCTCAGAAATAACTTGTTTTTTTGCTGTTTTGCTAAGCCAGAGTCCAGAAAGTTATGAACCTATATTTTCTCATAGAAATTTAGGCTAGAAAGGACCTCAAAAGACCAGCCCAACTCTGTAAGCCTGTCCAAGTACACCTAAAAAACCATGTCAGATATTTGCTTAGATGGTCCTTGAAAACTTTCTTAGTTTGCTCCAGTGCTTCAGTGTCTTAATAGAAAGTTAACACTGTTCTCTAACCTGCAAATTGAAGTGAACATTTTATGTCCTAACTTGGTGGAAATAGAGAAAAAGAATTAATGATTTTTTTTATAGCAACATAGAAACCCAAAGCTAGAAAGGTCTTTCTAGATCATCAAATTAAATCCCTGCAATCACTTGCAGTTATGTTACATCATCCCTTTCATAAACTTACTGTGTCCATTAAAAGCAATTAGTATTTTGTCCTCATTACTCCCAAAGGAAGGCAGTTCAAGAACTTGTTTGCTTTAATGATTAGTATCTAATTTCTGTTCATACTCAGGGCTGATTTACATCCCTTTGTTTCTGTGCCAGCATTATTATTTAGATTAAATACTTCTTTCTCATAACTGATATTTGTTCTTCAGATGTATTTCAACCATAAATCATATGACAATCATCATACCCCTTCTGAGCTGTTCTCTTGCCACTCTGATCAAGAAAGGTCTTTTAGATTTTCCTTGTAAAATATGCTTCCCACTTCTCTCATCAACCTACTAACCCTTCTCCTTTTGGTTGTGTATCCTTGGAGCAGAGTGATTAAAATTCTACCTAGTCACACAGAGACATTTTTGCCAGGTCTTTCTACAGTGATGCTAGTTCTTTCCTATTAATGTTAGAAGTACCTCTTTTGGTATGTCACAGAGCAGTTCATTCCTGCAATTTATCGAAATAATTCTGAACATTCTGAATTTCATCCTGACCCATGAAGTGCTTGGTGTCCCCCTAATTTGGTTCTAGCTCTGGGTTTATATATGTGTTCTGTATTTCATCACCTCATTTCAAAACAAATAAAAACATCATGATAAGTCCCTGGTTGGACTGTCTGCGAAATGTCCACCTCCAAAGATCATTTGAGCTAACCTGAATGTGGCTGATAGTGATTATATAATGTGTGATATAAGTTCCTGGATTGATTTTAATTGCATTACTTTTTATTCTTCCTCACTGGGACAACCTATTTTGAACTGAATTCTGAGTCCATTATAGCAGGTTCTGCTTATAGAAAGTGTGCTATTGATGTCATTCAGTGTAATTAAAATTGCATGTGCTGCTCAAACCAGAAAGGGAAGAAGAATTTGGCTTCTTATTATCACACTATACACCACCTGCTTAACAAGATTTCTGTGCCGTGTGATGAACTTTGTCTTGCTGGCATTTTTCCAGAATGTTTGTGTTTCACTGCATGGTATTATCTGATTAATTGACATTCAAGCATACTATATCCAATAGCTTCTTATCTGAGTAAACAATAATTGCTTTGAAGGTAGCTATTAAATTTCTCTCCTGTTTTAACAATTCAATCAAATTATGTTTTCTAAATAATCAAAAAATACTTCTAAATATTTTGAACCTTTGAACCTTTTCTGCTAAAAGAAATCTCTGGCCAACTGCTCTGTAGCTTTCCAGCTCTCTCTTCTTAGGAATTTCTTCTTATCTTTAAATTAATCTTGGCTTTTTTAAGTTGCACACAAAATTCTCCTGAAATGCTTACACTTCCCTTATTCCTAGATTGATAACTTTGAGTTGAGGTCACCAAAAGTTCCTGTGGTAAATTTACCATGAACCACAGTACTATTGTTAGACCAAGATGTTCAGTGGTAAATTTACCATAGGAAAATTACATGTTTTTGTAACCTTACTATATGCATCCCTACATTCCATCTTCCCTTTTTGTATTAAAATTCTTTTCAGCAACATTCTCAGAGATTATTAGTTATTTTGCTATGTTTTTCTACATAATTCTGCAGGGCTTCCCCACAGTTTTCTTTACACTTTTGTCCTATCTCACACCTGCTTTCATTCATTCTCCTCAGAGAACTTTTCTTTCTTAGATCTCTCATCTAAATCAAACTTACTTCATGAAGTAGAAATGTCCTAAAGTCTTGATCCAGGACCCCTTGCAAGGCAAACTCTCATTGTGCTTTACGCAAGTTATTATCTGAAATTTATGTCATCTCCTGACAGTGGCAAACAACAAATTAACTGACAGGCTTGTTAACTTTCACCTTCACTTGGTTACAACTGCATTTTCTTTAGGTTGATCAATAAAAAAAAAACTGACTTGTGATAGTTGCGTCTCTTGGTGCTTTCAAAATAAGAAAATAATTAATCAGGAACTTTCCACTGAATCAAGTATCATGAGAAGAATCCTGCAAGTTTGGGACACTTTTCTGGTTTTGACACCTTTTTCATCTATGTCTACTCAATTTATCTTCATTGTTACTACAGTCATTGTTCTTATTCTTCAGCCCTTTGTATGTCTAACTGATACATAGAATGATAATTTTACTTGGAAAGTGTATTGTCACTTATGTAATATTCTACCACAACATTGCATTTTGTTCTACTAGGTCTTCAACTGTACATAGTGCAATGTTTTCTTTGTTCCCTGAACTGTATAGAGGGTTAATTTTTTCCCCTCATCAGAATACACTGGTGAACTAGATATTTCGATGCCAAAGAGAAGAACCATGTGAAGGGAGTCTGCTAAGCTGTCTTGTGGCTACCAGTAATGTAGAGGTGGGAGGGAGAGAGGGACAAGCTGTGGACCACTTAACTGTTTTCAGGAAACTCTGACAAAGTATTTTTCTTCCAAGTGAATGCCTCTGGAGATTATGTGGTTAGGCTATGTTAGTTCTCACTGTATTTTCTGTCTCTTTGTATTAGTGTGCAGTTTAAAGCCTTCCTATATCTATAGCCAGCTTTGCTGAATGGAAATTCCCCACTAACAGCTCTTGATGTTGCTTCTTGTCATCAGCATTGCACTTTAGGGCTGTGTTTCCTGTTCTTCTGCATTCCCTTCTCTTTCAATTCCACACCTGTGAATCCAAAGCTTTGACTTTCTCTTTGATGTCCTTCTGCTCTGACCGTGAATGGCTTGACATTTTAACCATTATTTCACTCCTTTCTCTTGCCACAAGCAAATACTATTTCCATTGCACTACAATGGGAGGTAACTTACTTTTATAAAGAACCATAAATAAAATAAAATTTGCATTTGTGCTTTTAGTTTCCTCCTGGAAACCATCTTTGTGCATCATTATGTTCTGTTTGAGTTTTATGTTACAGAGTGCTGACTGATCTCCCAAGCCTTTTATTTTTCCTCTTATCCTTCACTAACAGACACATATAGCATATTTTAATATGAAACGGACTGTAGCACCAACAGGGCCACTATAAAAAAAAAGGAAAAAACAAAGATCCGTTTCTCCTTTGCTGAAATAAATAAATATGAACCATTTCAAGTATTTTTTGAACAATCCATAGAAAAATTTGAACAAATAACTTGTCTGTGGGCTTTTTTCCTTTCTAAATCCAGTTGAGGTTATTACATTGGTAAATACATCTTTCTGTTTAAAGTAATATTTTTTTTTCTTTTTTGATTCTGAAATTCAGTATTTACTGAAAGCAAAAGCCATTCCACAGACATCTCCTAGATGGCTCTGTTGGTTGGGGCTTGAAAAGTCTTGATCTTTGTCACAAGGCTTTGCTGTCAGAAGCTGTGTGTTCAATTACAGCTATACTGGCAAATCTGAACTCTTCATCTAGTACAGTTTTTTTTGCCTCATGGAATTCATTTCACTGAAGTGCCTGTTCATGTTCAGAGCTCCATGGCAGTGTATTTTGTCATTACCTTTACTGTAACACAAGTTCAGAATTTAATCCTAGAATCAGAGCAAGACAAACATCATGTTTTATTAACAGTAATGGTACATCTGGTTGGAATCAGATATTAAGGCTGTATCAGAACAACACATTCCTCCCTCATTGTAAATGCAGTGTCTGCCGTTTTAAACACTGAGAATGCCAAACTCAAGAGCAGAGATGTAATGCTGCTCTTTCTAGCCAGCAGCAAACACAGTGTGGTGAGAAACAGCCATAAAGCTTGGATTGCTGAAGAGTTTTGCATGCACAGGAGCTTTCTCTCATCATTAAAGACTTCTAGCATTCCCTCTCTGTACCTCAGATGAGGGAAAGCAGAGGAATGGAAGCATGATCACCCCACTTCCACTGCTGCCATGCCCTGACTGCCAGATGACTGTGCTGGCAGTAGAGAACCAGAGCAAAAATACAGAGCACCCTATGGTTTTTCTGCCCTCAGGGGACAGAGACAACCGGGCCCTGCGCTGAGGAAATGAATGGTCCATAATATGATCTTCAGCTTTCCCCCTGCCAGGGAAACTTGGCCAGAAGTTGCCTGGATGCAGACCAGGCACTTTGCAGGGTGTGTTTCTGATGGCAAACCAATATAAATGAACAAAAACGCTACAAACGCCGCTGTAGTTATGTTGGTGAGACTCAGCCAGCTCAGAAAGAAGCTCATTTGTCTTCTTCTAACCCCGGTGCTTCAGTCTCACTCACTGAGACAACGTCTCTTGCAGACTCAGAGCGACACAGCTTGGCTTGACTTTGTGGTACTCTCGGAAAGAGAACGTGTTGTTGTTGTACACGATACTTTGTCTTCTGGTCCTCTGCTGCCTCTGGTACAACTAGGG